TCTGTCTGTTTGTGCGTGTGTCTGTGTCTGTGTCTGTGTTTGTATTTGTGTTTGCGTCTGTGTGTCTGCGTCTCCGGGGGTGGGTGGTGGGTTAGGGGCAGAGACTGCTGCCAGTGTCCTTCACTCTGTCTACATGTGTCCCAGTGTCCTTTTTCAATCACAAAGGGGAAAATGTCTGTTGAAGAGAGAGATGAGAAAGCAGTGAATAAGAGAGATCACAAAAGACCATGAGTGGCCGAAAACGCCGGTCATCGATAAGACGTTTTCGACTGACTCGTGTGCTCGTTCGTATGGTCAGTTTCTGATTGGCTGTTTGCTGCCATTGGCCCCCTTGGCCCCCTTGGCCCCCTCGTCTGTCTGTCTGTCTGTCTGTCTGTCGGGCGGGCGGGGTGAGCTTTGTGGTGTGTGCTCATATTCTGGGAGGGAGGGGGGTCGGGGGGTCGTGCTGTGTTGGTGTGCAATGAACGTGTGTCGGGGGTTGGGGGTTGGGGGGAGGGGGAAGGGCATGGATGAGCACACACGTGCACGCATGTGTGGTTTGTTTTCTGCCCCCGTTTGCTGACTGTGCCCTTGTGGATTGACTGATTGACGGGAGACCAGCGCAGCTGACGTCTCCGCGCAGTTGCATGCATGTGCGGTGCGTGTCAAAGGTGGAACATGTCTTTGCATGGTATCATGTTGTCAAGAGTGCTGCCGCCGTCGTCTGTGGTGTGGGATGCATGCATCCATGCCGGTGGGTTCATATTGTGATGTCCGGTGGTGCTCTCGGTGTGCCGGTGTGTGCTGTCCGCTGTCATTTTTCAATGGTGAGTGAGGACGAGGGGGGGGGTCGGAGGGGTCGGGAGGGTGCATGACATGACGTATTCATGGATTGTGGCGTGTTCCATGGTGCATGTGTTTATCTACATGTGCGTGTGTACGTGGCGTGGCGTGTGCTCTGATATCTCTGTCCAAGTGTCCTCTTTGAATGACTGTGAACGTGCATATATACGGGCATACTGCATGACACGACAAGCAGTGAAGTGGACCAATAGATTCGACGACCCATTCCGGTACAATGTCATTTTTTCAGCACGACGAGAACGCCATGTCCTTTTCCTTCGCACGGCGCCCAATCATCTCTAGCATTAAGGCAGCCATTAACCTCCGAAGGCCCTTGAAGCGTGCTTGTTGCTTGTAACCTCGGTGCAGTCGCTGTGTGTCGGAGACCCCCTTGTCGTCGCCCTGGGCTCGAGCCTACAAGGCAGAGGAAAGCAGACAGAGGAAACATTTCTGAAAAGTGTCTGCATGCAAGCTTGCAACTCACGTGTCCTGGATGTGGTCAGCTTTGGACAAGCACGACACGCCGTATGCACAGAATCCCAGAGTCTTCCACGTGCAGAGCTGCCGCCTTGCCTGTCTGTGGACGGCGGAAGTTACTCTTGGAAAGCGTTGAAACCGTTTCTCGTCAAGAGAGCGACACACAATCCGCTCGGCTGGTTGGCGCATGGATTAGCTCGAGACATGGCTCAGAAGGTGTTTCTTTGCGCGAAATGCGCCGGATCACACCTCGAAAAATTCATTCAACCGTGACAAATGAACCTTGGTTGAGGGACCGCCGCCACGTCTAAACGTGTTCAAGCAGAACTGCATCGGGATCGGCTCCAGAAAAGCCAAGAGGCGTCCATTCTGTATGGCCTTGAGCACTGCGGCACTTCTCCCTTATCTCTCGTGTCTTCCATTTTTTCAAAAATCTTACCCTAAACACCACCCTTTTTTCGCGTCTCACGAAGAGACAACTTGCATTAGCCGTAACACAAAAACAGGAGGTTTTTTGTTGAAGAGAGGGCTAGAATCCTTGGCTGGTCGGCGTGTGGATTGGCTCGAGACATGACTTGGTTTTCTGAGTATTCTTGAGCCGGGACGCAGTCAAGGAATGCGGGCATGACATCTCGAAGGGGACAATGTCAAAGTGAACCGTGATGATTTAAAACCAGCTGCGGTCTGACCGCTGCGACTGCCATGCAGAGGGATGTTTGCTGCATAATTTGGTCTGGAGCCGAGGGGCGGTCAGATACGACCCATGTTCTGAAAAGAATTTTGCAGGCAATGGACAGGGCATCAAATTCACCTTCAGATGACGGACGACAGCCTGGTGCAGTTTGTCTGGGCTCGTCTGCTCTGTGCAAAGGGGAAAAATCATCACCGAGACCGCCACCACACACGAATTACGGAGTCCGGAAAAACGAAGGGACGAAAGCCCTCCGTTGACGGGGGCACCGTAGCGTATGGAACGAATAAGCGACTGACTTTGACGCCGTCAAGGGGACCGTCAAAGAATCACTCATTTGAACGACCGGCCCACGCCAACTAAGCTACTCTCCCCTGTTGACTTCCCGGACCGCGTGCTTTGCAAGACGTTGCGGGTTTCGGTGATTTTGATTAAGCGCCACAGCAAGTCTTACATACCGTTCGGGTGACATGATCTACATCGGGTAATATGCATCACACCGACCTCATTTGTCAGGGCCTCTGAGTCTCTTTGTGTCGCTCCCTTTGTGTCTTCCACCGGGTAAGACGCTACAGCGTCAAAGAGATCGCTGTAGCCCTGTCGCTCACGTGGGTTGGCACGTGGATTGGCTCGAGAGTGGAGACATGACTTCGAAGTCCCATAGGTTCTACTTGGACTTCGAAGATCTCTCTATTGAATTTCGGAGATTGCATCTGCTTCGGCGGCTACGGCGCCCCTTTGAGTTGTTCGACAAGCCGCGGGCGGCCTTGTGCGTGCCCTCCGTGACTCGAGCGCAAGATCTGCACAACCAGTTTCGCAAGACATCCCCTTTGAAGCTCAGCTCAGGTTAGCTCGCAGGTGCCCAGAGAGGAGTAGAGAAGGTAGAAGATCTATCGAATTCGTTATCACCTGAAACGGACTTTTTCTCAGGTGAAAACAGACTTCAGCGTGCGCTCCTGTGATCGCTCTGCTCCTCTTTAGAGGTCTCACACATCAGTGTGATGATAGTGATTCTGCAATGGGACGTGCCGCTGGATAAGGCATGGACGAACGAATCGCTCTGTCATTCTCTCGAGTCACACGATTGTGTGCTTGCTTGTCAGTCACCTCTTGGTGACAGCCATGTTGCTCACCAGTCTGTATTACCAGGTACGCATTCATTGTGTACTGCGTGTATGTAAATCATGTAACTTACTCGTACATGTGCATTAATGTACGTATTCATGTATCACGATACATACATGGATACATCTGCAGTCTTGGCGTGATCACAAGTTATCTTCCATAGCCCTCCTCCTGTGGACATGGATACTCGCGGGTAGGTGTGAAGACACGCACACATGTACACGATGTATGTATACATATGCTCCTCTATGCATAGGCACATGCTGTATATGCACATCACTTCATGATACTCTGTACATGAATACATATCCATGTATCATGTTAGTATGTATGTGTGTATGCAGGTCAGTGTGCTGGTGCTGGATTGTGTTACGCGGTCAAGAGTGACAACCCACAGGTAGATGGGGGCGATTAGTATGTGTGCACGTTGTTGTGTAGAAGTATGTATATCATGTCCACTTAGAATGCGCTTTTCTTCGGGAACGACGATAGATGGGATATACTGCAGGTACGTACATATAACATGCAGGGTCACGCATGTATATATATACACATCCATCGATACATACATCATGCAGACAGCCATTGCTTGCGCGTTTGTCGCCATCTCATACGTCTGGCTCACGTTCGGCGTCTATCGCGAAAGGGAAGCGCGTCCTCCCCTTACTGCCCTCCATGATGCATCACAACAGCCGATAAGACATCAGTACGGTGAGGAAGAAGGCCAAGAACATATCAGACCGACACAGAGGCGTGAGGAGGAGATTGGGGTCAAAAGCATGTCACCATACGAGTCGCCTGCTACGCATCTTCGCAAGACAGAATCTCAACAACAGATCCTCGCGAATATGAGGGTGAAGCTATCAGATGAGGGATCGTTCCCTCTCATTCTCACCACATCTGGCAGAGGAGAGGGGATAAGAGTCACACGGACGTCGACATTATTTGATCATCCGAGGGACTCATTCTCAAGCGACGGGACTCGCCAGAATGGAGCGAGCGTAGAGGCGGCCAGTCGACATGAGACGAACGGGGAAATGGAGGAGGCTTAGGGGATGTTGGGAGTGTGGCCGGGCATGAACGGCGGTCCAACTGAAGATGCCCATCCTTCTCACGGAGCGGCCGCTTCTCGTGGCCACAAACCAGCCTCTCATATCCCTGAGCCATCACTAACTCATGACGCGAACGGGTCGCTGCCAGCGGTGAAGTCGGGGGGAGGTGGGGGCGGCTGCTGGTTGTGGGTGTGATACGATGACGACCCTCGCACATGGATGCCCAAACCGGCCTGCATGATACACTCAGAGAAAGACATACACAGAAATAGGCGAAGAGAAGACCGGAACTGACCAGTTTTTCGACGATAATGCGTTCGTTTTTTCTGGGGCCTCTGTCCGCTCCACTCGGTCTCAATGATCATGCCGACGTTCCACCCACGACGCTCAAGCGACCTCACCCACTCTAGTGCCAACGAGATGCATTTTTCCGCCTAATGATTGGGCTTCATTCTTGGTCCAAACTCCTTTGCAAATTGACCCTGACATGGTAATCTTGTGGTCAGGTTTGTGACGTGGTCATTCGATTGGAGAGGAGCCAAAACAGGGTGTGATTCTGGATGCTTTGCTTTTCTTTCTCCTTCATACACATTAGAATTCGATATCGTCTCACCGTCACAATTCATTTTACGAACATGTACACAGATAGAGGTACTTTGTATAGTAGGATGAGTAAGGCTATGCATCTTCTTCATCTCCATCGTCCTCCCCACCCTCGTCCTCAGCAAACTGGTGTACGCGCATACATGAAGAGTTAACTGCAAGAATTAATGCTGCTGCAATGAACAGACCCACGGCAGACACGAAACACATACATGAGCCATTGGGCGCTGATCCTATTGGCTTCTGTGATGTTGTAGTAGGCCTTGATAGTGAAGCTACACACAGCGAGGCCGATCAGCATGATTTGAAGCTCCAAGAAAGCCGATACAATGCGACGACGTAGAAGCTGCCTCTTGGAGCTTGCTTGCCTTTTCTCGGTTGCATTGTCATCGGAAGGGATATCCTTGATGACACCCCCAAACTCATCACGGTGTTCTCTCAAATAGGGGCCGAATCCACTTTTTCGCAATGACTCGTAGCCGCTTTCGACGAGGCCGAGAAGGGTGGTCTTTGTCTTCACTCTGGAGGACCTGATGCCAAGGGATCCCTTCTTCTCCCAGAGTCTGTCTACTGCTTGGCCCACTGTCAGAACCAACGGCATACTGAGGCGCTCCTTGGTCAACACGGCTCGACAGCTCCCTCAACGAATGAAGGCTCGGTGGAAGCGTAATGGAATCGTGGCCCCACCTTAGCGGAGAAGCTCCAACGTCACTCAGAGCTGTCCGGCGGTTTCGCCCACTGGAGATGCTTTGAGGTCACCCGATAGTGGGGGTGGAAATACATTGACTCATAGCGCAACGGCAGGCAGAGTCTGTCGGTCTCTCATGAAATGAACTGCGTCAATCGACCAACCATCAATCAAATCACACGACAAACATGCCAGCACCATCCTCAGCGCCCGCCTGGCGTATCTTCCAGCGGCGCCGCCCACCACGCACACACATACTCGCACTACGCGCCAACGCAATAGACAGACGAGCACGAACCCATCCCATCACCTGGCTATACGACTTGTCTGCCCACGCAGCCTTGGTGCGCAGCTTCTCAACCAGGCGGCTGAAAAAACCATTGGCCTCTCTGCCCCACACACCGTCCACCGTCACGCACAAGGCGGTGAAGTAGATGGACTTGTCCTCGCACACACGGCTGTGGTAGGCCTTCTTGGCCTTGGCCTTGGCCTTGTTCTTGAGGATGGAGGCGGTCGATTGGTTGCGGTAGGATGACGCGTCAGCGTTTGTCACGCAGAGGTCAAACGACACGTCCTTCTGCCGCTCCCACACCCCCCTCACCACCATGTCCATCCGCACCCCCTTCTCCCCCTCCTCGGGCTCCACAATCACCACCTCCTTCCTGACCGCCGACTCGCCCCAAGCCTTGGCAGAAAGGTCGCACAGCACGTTCACCACCTCGTTGTGCCGCCGAATCACTAACCCACCCACTCCACAGTTGAGGGCGTGGTCGAGCGAGTACGGAGCCCCGCAGCCGTCGCAGTGGGTGGGCATTTTGGGAGGCTCGTAGGCGTATCGGATGGCCATGTTGTCGCGGAACTCGTCAGGCGTCAGGTCGGTGTGGTCCTCTGCGTCAGGCCGGCAAGTCACCCACCCGGCCGTCTTGGCCTCGATCGCCCGGTGGACCGCCCGTCGTCTCTCTGGGGGCAGCTGCTGGAGGCCGTCCTCGAAGCGCTCCTTGGCAGCCTCATCGGTCGCCCGCCGCTCCTGCCTGACCGCTTGCTGCATATCGGCACGGTGCTGGAAGGGGTTGAATGGAGGGCCGTCGCGTGGGTCGCCGTTCTGAATGGTGGACACCAGCAGGGAAGTGCCCTTGGTGGACGTCTCATACGCCGCCGCCACTCGCTCCGTCGGGTCCCTCACCCCCATCCCCCCATGACGCGCAGGCAGTATCATCAGCTGGGCCTCAGTGGCGGTCACCGCATGGCTGGAGAGCTGGGTGAGGTAGTGGGTGAGGGCATCTCGCAGCGGCTCGAATGTCGCTCATTCCTCAGGCATCACCCGGATGAAGAAATCCCACTCGGCCTGCAGAGACGTTGTGAGTGCCGTGTGGGCTGCCTGCGGGTACTTGGCCGCTGCGTTCGCCATCCAGTTGACACACCGCTATCACTCCTGCACCCTCTCGGTGGCGTAGGCCCGCTTGCCCTCTGCGGTCCCCACAAAGCCCCCCATATATCGAGCGCCACTCACGATCTCCACGTCAGTATCGCCAAACACCTCTTGCGCCCGCTCCTCACACCCCGCCCGCACCACCAGCTTGCTCTTCTTGCCGTTGGGGTGATAGCCCCTCAATGGCCCTCTCCGCTGCAGCTCATCCCACCAGTCACGCACCGGCTGGAGGTCTCCCACCTTGGCGGAGTCGTCGGCAAACCACGCCTGAGGGCCCTCCTCTGCTGGCCGCTTCATCTCCCATACAAGCGGCAGGGTCGCCACGGAGTAAAAGAGGGAGGCCAAGGGGTCGCCTTGTGTGGTGCCTTCTCGACTCCACAGCGGCGCGGATTGGTCGCGCATGTAGAGGGCCGCATGGCCGCGATAGGTGTTGAACAGGAAGCGAGAGCACCACGGCTACAAGACGCGGACGTTCCACAGGGCGGCAGCGCGATTCATCGTGTTGTAGGCGTTCGTCGCATCCACCAGCAGCGCGCACTCCACGCCTCCCGAGTCAAACGGGCCGGAGACCGCGTGAATGGCACCCTCCACGCCCCCCTTGAGCCCGGCACACAGCTGGTCCGCACCGCATACAATCTCCGCATCCACCCCGACCGCCTTGGCCATCGCCTTGCCCATGATGCGCATGAGGACCTCTTCGATCCCGATGGGCCGCACACCCGGTTGCTTGTCCAGGCCGATAAGCCGACATGCGCGCAGGGCCTGCAGCTGCTCCCAGGGCACGTCCTCATTGGCGATGCGTGAGGCCATGGCCGCTAACTCACTGCGCAGCTCCGCACTTGCCGCGCCGCACTTGAGGAGGAGAATCTTTCAGACCGATGACTCGCCACCAACAGGGCCGGCGCCTCCCTTCGT